GGATTGGACACCCCTGCCATAGACCATGATATCCTAATCTCAAGACTTGAGCAGTGTGTGAGTATCACAGGGACAGTGCTCCAGTGATTCAGGTTCTACACTGTCTGATCAAAAAAAAAAGTTACCACCAAAAAAAAAAAAGTCACATTCTAATGTTTCGTTGTTTAGCTTTGATATTGCTATATCCACCCTGAAGGTTAATCTTGGACAATATCTGACGATTGTCTCTTTTAAATGAAACCAGAGAGCGTTGACAGAGAGGAGAAGGTAGAAATGATTCAGTCTACAACTGAAAATATGGATGGAGGACAACAGAGCTGCTTCATGGAAGAAGAACCTCAGCTTAGCCTGTTAGCCTTTGTGCTAGCGCCAACGCTATATTGCCTTATACTGTATGTATTAGCACAGCGCTAGCGCAACAAACAAACAAGCTAAACTAAGGTCCTCCATCAATATTTTCAGTTACAGGCTGAGTCATTTCTACCTTCTCCTCTCTGTCAACGCTCTCTGGTTTCATTTAAAAGAGACAATCGTCAGATATTGTCCAAGATTAACCTTCAGGGTGGATATAGCTCCCTAGCAGCCTTCTAGTAGGACCTATCCATGTCATCATTTACCCAGAATGCTTTGCATGTAAATAAAATGGCCCCATCCGTGTAATATATTTTTAAACTTTTAGTTTAAAAATTATAAAAACTAAACAGGCTACAGTAATTATACAGTCTATTTTACAGTTAAAATATATGTTTATTAAATAAAGTCTAATGTTACAACTAACTGGGGATCCCTTTAAAATACAACATAACAGTTATAAATACACAATCTTCCATGATCTGATTGAAAATATGTCCTTAGACTTTAATAGTTCCATGTTACACCGATTCTCCGTGTCTTTTCTGTCTGTGAGCAGCAGTTGGAGGGGGATCTGGAGATGCTGGCCGTGGTGACGTACTCCTCTCTGTCTGTGTCCATGTTGGCCCTCCTCCTCACTGTCCTGGTGCTTTCTTGTCTCCGGGGCCTCAAGTCCAACACCAGGAGCATCCACTCCAACACAGCAGCAGCCATGTTTTTATCCGAGCTGGTGTTTTTGCTCGGCGTCAATCAGACGGAGCAACAGGTAAACACACAATCTGTTTTTTTTAATATTACTATTATTGCTGTTAATTTATCCCATTTTTTGGCTGTTTGGAAGTTAGAAAACCATTTAAAGCTTCAGGTCTGTCCGGGTTGAGATAATTTCCGTGTTTGTCTCACCTTCTTTGAACCACTTTTTGTTTTTCCTCCTGACCCCCATCTGTGCTTTGTTACGTAACACACATTCGTGTTCGAGTGTGTTTAAGGAGCAGTGGCTCTCGCAAGGAGCTCAGCTCAACTATGCGTTCACTCAGCATGAAATTCATTTAATTAGGCTGTATTCCCCCTGCTGTCGACTGTACAGCACTTACAGTGCAATCGGTAAATTCTAGCTGAACAATATGTTCTGTAACTCCTGTGCATCATGCTCCAGGAAGCACATTAGTGCTCGCAGCTGTTGTATTAGTTTCCACTTCTTTTTGGTTTCGTGCGTGACTTGAAGTGTTGGCGTGTTGTGTGGGAGTGTGAATTTTATCATCTGGCTGTGTCTCTGCCAAAGCTGCTGCTGCTTTTTGTGTCATCCTTAGTGGTTGCTAGGATTTTGTGCCAAGTGGTTTTTTTTTTTTCCATTTTTGCAAGATATTTTAGTTTAGTCCAAGATACGGCTCATGTTTTTATATATTATCTAATTTTATTCTCTTTTGACTATCGCCTTTGATGGATCTTCCTAATTTGTTTTATTAATAGTTGTGTAAAGATTGTGTGAATGTGTTGGCTATCATCACTACTTGTTGCAAATGAATTGCCTTTTGGTGACTTAAATGATTGGACAGTATAGTCCAAAATATATACCATATAAAATATATACACAAACTACTGTAAAACTTTAGACATTTTAGTTATTTCAAAAAATGCATCAATCCACTCTGGTCCTAATCCCACCCAGGATCAAGTAGTGGTTTCTTGGGTGTGGGCGTGGTTTTGGTTAACTGTGATTGGTTGATTGACAATTTCAGGCGGGGTTTGAAGAAACCATAACATTTAGGTTGGATGAATACTGGGCAGCTGGGGAAAGTGTAACAATTCAGCTTGCTTATTTTTGAATGAGTATTAGTTTTAGTCTCAACTCAAAGCAGGAAGGTGCTTGCCACACAAAATTTGAAGTCAATAAATTATATTTACATGTTCATAATGGTCTTTATTGAGACATTGCTCTGTTTTAAACTATAAACTGACAGTTAATAAAACAATTATGTTTACATGTTTACAATAATTTGACTAATTACATCACATCTTTTCATTTTCCCCATAAATCAATCGGACCAATCACATTTTACTCAATCTACACCCACACCTAAGAAACTCTCAGTGACTGCAGAGACCCACATTTCTCCCTTCATTGGCCATCACCTTAATAATAATTTTCTTTAAACCTGAGTAATTTAAAATGTTATCCAAAACAGGTAAGCTATTAATTGTTCATAACTTTCTACAAAAGACCCATCGACTATTTTTTTCCTACATCCTCCCAGTTCCTGTGTACGGTCGTTGCCATCCTGCTACATTATTTCTTCATGTCCACGTTTGCTTGGATGTTTGTGGAGGGTCTTCACATTTACCGGATGCAGACCGAGCAACGCAACATCAACTACGGAGCCATGAGGTTCTACTACGCCATTGGCTGGGGCGTGCCCGCCATCATCACAGGTGACATTCACATGAAATACACACGTCTGCACACGCAGACAGTCCTGGCCACAGACACTTTGAATGACACAGAACTGTCTTGTGCAGTGCGTGCGCAGTCATCACTGTCACGCACGTTCTCTGCAGGTGCGGCTGTGGAGATAAGGTTTCCCACTGACACTCGTATTAAAAAGGTTTCGGTGACATTTTTAATACTGAGATAGAAAAGTAGAAATTCACATGCAAGAAATTATTGCCATGAGACACGGTGTTGGAAAGCAATATCTGTCTGCTTCCCTAGACACACACACACACACACACACACACACACACACACACACACACACATATTTCCTGCCCCCGGGCTCTAAGGTTCGTTAATCTGTCTGCCTTCGTTTAGGTTTTTCCAGTTTACCATACTTTGGCAATTCAATTTTTACGTTTTTTTTTTATGCCCTTGATTGCCAAAACCTTGACAGTGATGTCTGCAGAAGGATACGAGAGGCATGAAAACATCAGCATTTACAAATACTTGTTAGCAACTGCATGTAGCATCTCTGCAAATGCATTTTCAAAAGAATGGTGAATGGTTTTGTGAAAACAGAGCGTAGATTGGAAACTTTTACACTTTTATTTGTGACAGAATCGTGTCACAAAGTTCAAATTGTCTTCAAGATGAATTATTTTGACCGGAGCTGGTATTATAGGCAGTTTGGCACCCTGAGCAGGTTCCAGGTGGTCTCCCTCATGCAATTTTCTAAACTGTAATGCCAATTTATGTGCCAAATTCAACAGTTTTGTCTTCGATATTATTTTTTTTATCTTTAGGTTGTCCATTTAAAATTATTTGAAACAGAATACTAGAAGTCCCCATTTATGTACCACCCTAGATGAACGGTGCCCTTAGCATTTGCCTGCACTGCCTATGCCATGGCCCTGATTTTCAATTTTGTTTTGTTACTATATTGTGTGCATGAAGTTACCAGTATATTAATGTAATAATTTATGTTCCTGAGGAACTGTTCAGCTCTACATTGATTTATTTGAACATAGATCTGTTTTTTTTTTTAATATTTATAAATGTCTATAAGGATGAACACATAACACCAGTCTGGATGTGTCCTGTTATCAGGTTTATCTGTCACAAATTGGACTTGTTATATTTCTCCACAGCTGATAGACGATATCAAGAGTTGATCTTGTCAGCCTTTCTGTGTCTCCTCTGCAGGCCTGGCAGTGGGTTTGGATCCTGAGGGTTACGGGAACCCAGACTTCTGTTGGATCTCCATGTACGACAAACTCATCTGGAGCTTTGCTGGCCCTGTCGCCATCGTAATCCTGGTAAAACTATTAACTCTTTATTTTTACATTACCTTAAAATATAATAAACTGTAAAATGTATTGTTTTTCTGTTATCCCCAAAGAAAAGTGACAAATCTCTTTTTCAAATGAAATTTCTTTTTGCCAACATGCTTTATGCCTCTCTGGCTTTAATATTTTGCTCCACTGTGCTTCTGAACCTGGTAGGATTCTATCAGTAATAAGTGGCAGCTCTTCAAACTGATTTCAGAAAGAGTGTCCTCTTCAACGACCATCATTTTCCTCTCTGACCTCATTGCCTTTCACTTTGAAAATACACTTCACCAACACACACTTTCTAAGCTTACTACAGAGCTGCCTGTTCTACTTCAGCTTCTTCTGATGTATTTATTTTATGTAGTTTTAGTATATTTTATTTGTGTACGACATCCAAGCAGAAGCTAGGATTTACACATGCCAAAGTCTTACAAACATTTTATCCACATAGATTTTGTTTCATCTGTTTTTTTTCTCAATGTGCTCAAAAGCAGAATTGGACTTGTCATAATGTTTATTTTAAAAACTGTTTGCATTGATTTTTCCACTGTTCAGATGAACGGAGGGATCTTCATGATTGTTGCCAAGATGTCCTGTAATCCATCTCAGAAGGAGACCAAGAAACTCCCGGTCATGTAAGAACTTATCTCCACACTTTAAAAAGTGACTATAGTTGTTTTTTTCTATTTTAAAGAGAGGTGTATTGTAAAACCCTTTCTGTTTCCAACTGCTATTTTTACATAAGGTTCAAACAAAAGAGCCAAATGTAGACAAACAGTTTATGCAAATAGACAGAAATTCTTTGAAAATGAAAAAAAAAACATTGTTATAAAATGGGAAGTTTGGATGTCTGACATATTGGCTCAGCTCTTGTCATATCAGTCCACAAGCACCCAATTACTGAACAAAAATATAAACTCAACACTTTTGTTTTTGCTCCCATTTTTCACGAGTTGAACTCTCAGATCTAAGACTTTTTCTACGTACACAATATGGTCAGCAGCTCCGGTCGACATCCCTGCAGTCAGCATGCCAATCGCACGCTCCCTCAAAACTGGCGACATCTGTGGCGTTGTGCTGACAGAGTGGCATTTTATTGTGGCCAGCCTAAGTCACACCTGTGCAATAATCATGCCGTCTAATCAGCATCATGATGTGCTACACCTGCGAGGTGGGCTGGATTATCTCTGCAAAGGAGAAGTGCTCACTATCACATTTACGCAAATTTCTGAACAATATTTGAAGGAAGAAGGTCTATTGTGCACATAGAAAAAGTCTTAAATCTTTGCGTTCAGCTCATGAAAAATCTGAGCAATAACTAAAGTGTTATATATGTATTTTTCAGTGCATATGATGTATTTAAACCTGTTTCATGTACAAAATTCAGTTCATAATTTACAACCTTTTCAGATTCTTTATTATCTTCACACATCAGGACAAAATTATGAGTTTAGTTTGCATTTACAGCAGATTATGACTATTTGTGCCTTAAAATAGTATCTATTATAATATCTAAGTATTGTATATGAGATGTTATTGTGTAATATGAATGTAACACAATATTTTGTGTATTTCTTTGTGTATTTTTTACAAAATATTTGGTTCCTTGTTCAGCGCTACTATCCGAAACGCCTTCCTGCTCATGCTGGTGGCCACCTCCACCTGGCTGTGTGGTCTGATGGCGGTGAACAACAGCATCCTGGCTTTCTACTACATCTTCGATATCCTCTGCCTCGTGCAGGTACGAACAAATCATTCAGTGTGCGTCTGAATCTACATCTACTGTATATATTTAATAAACTGACACTGTTAATAATGATGTCATCTCACCATCTCTCCCGTCTGCTCGCTCTATCTTAGGGTCTGTCAGTGATGCTGGTCTTCACTGTGTTCAACTCAGAAGTCCAGGAGGCCTGGAGAGTTGCCTGTTTGGGTAAAAAGAGCCCTGGAGAAGACCCACCGAGACCCCCGCAGAGCACAGTAAGTGGTGCACACATTTTCTTTTTGTTTGTTTTTCCAGCATCCCTAAGCTTTAAAAAAAATTAGTCAGAACATTAGCAACAAGCCTCAAAACAGAGATGAAACTTTATCAGACTCATTTCAATGGATCCTGAAGTCACCACAGAATTGTCATTATTGGACAGTAATGACTTTCAGAGTGGATTTGAACTCCTGATGTGAAGCCATAAATCACCTCTCTGTATGATCCTGAGGGCTTTCAGTGTGTTTTTGTACCAGTGTGCTCACTCTTGGATACACATTCTCACTGCATCCATTACCACAGAAAACTTCCTGCCCTCCTTCCCTCAATCCATCAATCAGTCCGTCCTGCTCTCGTTTGCTCCTCGTCTCCTGCCTTCAGGGTTTCTCGCTGACCCATATAAAACAATATACAAGGAATGCTCCCTGTTCTGCGGCCACATCTGTAAAAACAATGGGCAGTCCTTATTAAGTGTCTACGTGTCTTTAATTCCTCTTCTGCCATGTCTGTATCAGTTCTGCTCACCGCACATCACTCATCCCTTCTGTTTGCAAAAGCGATAAATGCAAAAGAAGTTGCTCTGAGCCCCATATGCATCCTACAAATGTTGGTGAGATGTTTGTTTTGCATGAATGGATGAGCAACTGTGAATATTTTAACCCCTCAATTTGCTCAGTATCTCACTCATCTGGGGAAAAGCCTGAAACTATGAATAGAATGATTTTTTTTATCTAGATGGGCAGCGTGTATAAATGGCTGCCTGTTAGTGTCCTTTTGCCTGTCTGACTCACATCGTGCTGCTTGTTCTTTATCGCTACTCTGACTAATAAACTACACATTAGGTCTGTCTCACTTTTAGATTAGAGCCACTGTTCGACTTGCTAGGCAGGTTTGATTTTTTACATCCAACTTTGATTATTATATAGATAGCTTTATCTTAAAGGAGATGTGCAAAATCCACTTTTTTAGCCATTAGATGCATTTTTTGTATACTTAGAGTCTGTAGGAGTGCAGAAAATTGTAATTTAGTCTCTCCAGATGTTGCAAAACATATGTTTATATTCTGTTTGCATCATATGCTCCACTCCGTTCAGTTTTCTCCATTTTTATAACGTTTTCAAAACTATTATGTCATAATTTTTGCGACAGAATTGCCAATTTTGTCGTCTTCATTCACTCTGCCTCCAACATGTAAGGCTGGATGAAAAGGTCTTCTCTTGTTGAATTTGTAAATAAAACATTTCTGCACTGCTATAGTCTTAAACCCCTCTATAAAACTAGAATGGACCGGTCTGGAAGCTGGAGGGAGGCGGGGCGTGATGTGTTTCGTTTGGATTTAAAGAGACAGCCTCAAAATGAGTTGATGAGTTACAATAAGGAGGAATTCAGACCAAAGCATTGCAGTTCCACTTTATATAGACCCAAACTGAATGAATTAAATGTGAATAAGAAGGATTTAAAAGCAGTACATGTCTCCTTTAATATACAGAAAGAAACTAAAGCCTGCAAAAGCTTAGATTTTTGACGCTCACTTGATTTCTTTTGAACATGTAAGGTGGTCCTGCTGTTTCCTGTTAATGTATGAGAGTCTATTTTCAGGCTCAGAACCCTTATCACAATGCATCTCTGCTGGAGCAGAGCGGTTTGCACCGCATCACCCTGGGAACCTCCACCATCTCCTCTGTCAGCTCTGCAAGGTATCTGCACACAGCAATGTTCACACTCCCCCACAAACACAAACACGTGCTCATGAAAGGAGAAATGTGTTTATTCTCGCTTTCTGTTTATCCCGGGGAAGAGTCATCCAGGTCACGATGGAACAGAAAAAAAGGTTAGACAAAAACAACTGGACTTTTATTCTGACGCTGAAGAGAAGGGAAAAGTCTTCAACTTCAGAATAAAAGTCTGGTTGTTTTGTCTTTATGACTTGTTTTATTTAAGAGCAAGATGCTCGACATCAACAAAATAAAACGATTAATTGATGCTAAATTTGAACAACCACAAAATTAAACAATATTTAAATAATCCCAGCAGGGTTGCGACAGGTTTTGTTGATTCTCTGCTGCTGTCTGATTCAAGATTAGATGCTTGAAATACAATTTATTTTTGCTTGTAATATCCCTGTTTGATATGTGGGTCAGTGGGGTAAAGATGAAGAAGCTTGGATGGGACAATGCTCTGAGCTGCATGTAGAGCGACACTAATGTACTCTGAAAATGGCAGTTATTGTCCTTAGGGCTCAGCGATTATACTCCTGAGTGTATATACAATACTCGCTATCGTGCATACATGTTTCTTTTATCTGATCGTGGGTTTAATGTGTATCTGTCCTCGCTTCTTTTCTTTCTCTTGTCAGAGAAAACCTTTTGGCTCGTCAAACTCTGGAACAAAACCTTGTCCAGACTGGAGCCACAGACCTGGATGTAGCCATGTTCCACAGAGATGGAGGTAAATGTACGTTTATGTGCTTCAACCTTAACACACATTTTACACATAAAAGCAACACACTCTCTTTCTCCAAACCCTTTATTTTCTCTTTGAATTTCAGAAAATGTAGATAGTACAGTATTTGTGTGCAACGCACCCCGTTGAAGGACAGTTTACGCTCCTCTTCCTCACGGTCATTTATTTCTTCGTCTCCCTTCTGCGCCTCCAGGCGGGGACTCGGACTCGGACTCGGACCTCTCCATGGACGAGGAGCGCAGCCTCTCCATCCCGTCCTCGGAGAGCGACGACAACGTGCGTCTCCGTGGGCGCATCCAGCGACGATTCAAACGCTCCAATCACAGCGAGCGCCTGCTCACCGAACCCGCCAGCAATGACACCAAAGGTGCACTAGTGATTTCTTTGTTTTTAGATTTTATGTACACGGAAGATGGGGGGAAAACATGAAAAAGTCACTGCATCTTTTCTAAATAATCATATTAAATATGAATCTTTTGTAAGGAGGGTTGAAGCTTGTAATATGCCCTATATTAGATTTATGAAGTCACAATTACAAGGACACTGTTTAAATTCTCATTGTAGTCTCAGTATAGAAATAGAAACAAACATCAACGGAAACGTCTGCATCAAAATTCTTGTTTTTTTGCTCCCAATTCTGCAACTTCTTGTCTAAAAGTCTTGGAAAAAATTCACATAGTGAGCATCATTTCTTCTCAGATACTCCACTAAATCCATTTATACCATGTATTATACACTTCAAATAGCCAATATAAATGTCATCACTAAACCGTTTCAGTGAAAGGTTTCACTGTGAGAAAAGGCCAGATATGTGCAAATCTTTAAATCTATAAAATCAACCAATTATTGTCCTAAAAAGGCTGTTTGGTTCACATGAACTTTACCCAGAGTGAAATCAGAACACGGCTTTGGGTTCGGTTAGAAAGGGCAGGATCCAGATGGGCCATACAGTCCGATCAATAAATCAGTGAAGTCAAACTGAGGAGGAGCTCTGAGACAATCGGGTTTTAAATGAAAGGTCACAGTCTGAAGGGAGGCTTTTGGCTGTGACAAAGCATTAATATGAGGCAAAACAATGGTTTTAAACAGCTTTATTAATTATGTTAACAACAGTTGAAATGATGGAAACTTCATGTATTTTCCAGTCATTATAAAATTCGGAGCAATAAATGTAAACTTGGGAACTTAAAAAAAACTAATCTTGTGAATTACCACTGGTGAGTTTGTTAGTAACTTGAACATGTTTGCTTTTATTTGTATGTAACAGATCTGGATGGCAACGACCTTTTGTCCTACTGGCCAGCTTTGGAAGAGTGTGACACACACACCTTACAGAAGTGGGGCTCGGAGCGCCCTCTGGGGGCCGACTACAGCAAGGACGCAGCCAATAACAACCAACTGGATGCAGCGCTGACCAGTGGGGACGAAAACAGCCTCTCTCAGCCTCACAGGCATCGCAAGGGTGAGAGAAACAAAGACGAATACACGCTTTTATTCACTTTAACCATTTTATTTCCCATTGTATGGATTTATTTGGTACAAAGAGGTATTTCTGACAGTTAATTTATGTTTAAAGTTTACTAAATGGATGGTTCTAGTCTTAAAGAGGACATATAATCAAAATCCACTGTTTTAGCCATAAAATGCATTTAGTTGTGAACTTGCACTCTCTAAGAGTACAGTCCTTTAAATACGGTTTTTAACACTTTTATACACAAAGAGCAGCATTAATACTTGAAATTCATAAGAAATTGTATATCCACATACAAAAGGACAAACACAGGAGCAAAAGAAGAAAACAACGACATGTAAAAATTGGTTATGTTGCTGGAATGTGTGACATTTAAGAGAAAAATGAGGCCAAACCCAGAAATGCATACACATGAGCATGAACATAAAGTGGTTGGAAGCAACTTTTATCAGTGTGTGTTTCTGAAGAATGAGTCAGTTTAATGTCTGCCTCAGGAGGTTCATATTACACACCCAGAGCCAGTGTTGTCTGATGATTCATAACGTCTGAAGAATGACCGAATACTGGCTGAAAATGTCAAAAGGGTTACTGTTGTCAGACGATTTTCACAATTTTTTTAATATATGCTTCTTTTTTCAAAAACTTTCCTGCCCCGTGACCTCTCTCTGGACTGTATTTCATTTTTCTTGCACAGTTCCTTCTCTTCTCCTGCCCTGACTTCTTTCTCTCTCTCATGTTGGTGTTTTCTTCTTGCAGGTATCCTTAAGAATCGTCTTGGATGTCCACCGGCACTCCAGGGTCTCTCCACGATGGGCCGCGTCCCCAGTGAGCTCAACTGGTACCGAACCTCCACGCTTGGCCATCGAGGAGTTCCAGCGGCTTCGTACGGCCGCATGTACTCCGCCACTGCCGGTGCCACGGGAGGTTCCGGTTCTCTTTCCCAGCCGGCTTCCCGGTACTCCTCCAGGGAACATCTGGACTCTCTGGCCCGGAGGCAGCTGTCCAGGGATCCTTTAGGGAGGCAGACGGTGGGAGGTTCAAGGGAGCGGCTGGACTCCCGGGGCTCCAGGGACAACCTGGATCTCTTACCCCGGAGGAGAGAGCTTGGACTGGGGCAAGGAGCAGGACTGGTGGGCTTGGATCACCAGCGAGTCTCTTCATCCAGGGAGAACTTGTCGGGCTCCAGGGACAGACTGGAAAACTACCATTCCACCAGCTTCCACACCTCGAGAGAAGATCTGAGTGGGAACGGTGGAGCTGTTGGAGCCGGAATGGAGGGATACCTCAGCGGGTCGAGGTCGCAGCTGAACACGCTGACGCGGCGTCAGGCCTCGTCCCGGGAGCACCTCGGAGGGTCTCTGATAAGTAGCAGGTCAAGGGAAGAGCTGGAGACCAACGGGGTGGGGGCTCAGGCTCAGACGGGTCGTGAGTGGCTCCGGAGTCTGCCCCCCCGGCAGCCCTCGCACCCCGATCAGCCTCCCTCGGCCTCGCCCCCTCCTCCCATCTCTGAGGAGCCCCAGCAGGAGCAGCTACCTCCCTCGGCTCATGCCAGAGGACGCCTGGACTCTGCGCCTTCATGTAGGTACCCTGGTCAGACTATCCCTCAAGTCTCAGGTCTAAATCCAAACCCCTTGGTTAGACAACCGTCCAGTGAACAGCTGGACATTCTGTCCTCCATCCTGGCATCCTTTGGTTCCTCCGTCCTCACCCCACCTGCTCCCTCTAACCCTAACGGCTCAGTCCACGGACCCTCCCCTTCCCCACCCCAGTCCACCACGTCCCACAGCATATCTGAAGTATCTCCTGACTCAGAGTAAGTATTTCTGAGTACTTCAACCATTCCATTGCATGTCCATTTGTCTTACATTCTTATCACCCGCTGCCGATAAACTCAGCTCCGTTCAACATGGCTGCAACAGCTAAGTGACTTTAGGAAACACAAATGACAACAACTGGAGTGCCAAGACATGTCACAACATCTTGACATTGACACTACGTTGTGTATAATGTAATTTACAAGGTTTATCTATTTATTTGACCTTTATTTAACCAGGTTAGTCAGTCAAGAACACGTTCTCATTTACAATGATGGCCTGGCCAAGAGGCAGCAAATAGGTGATCAGGAGGACATAAGACAGGCAACATATAAACAGCTGTCAATCAAACATCAAATACTACTTAACAAACAAAGAACTCAGGCAGGTTCCTGGAACAGAGGGGTAGTAACAGATATTCAAACGGCCAGGAATTGCCAAAAGCATGTGCAGCAGTCATCAAGCGATGCTCTCACTGCTTTTTAAAACAAGATGAATAGGACAAAAGAAGTAATTCATTTTTGTAGATGGTTCTAATCATTAGCTGTGTGCTTTAGGTATGGCTAATGTAGCTGCTGGAGAGGAGGGCAGGAATATTGCTGTGGATATAGAGTAGCAAGCAAAGGTAAAATGCGGTTTTACCAATTATGCCGGGTTCACACGGCAAGATAATTGTGCCGATTTTTGGTTTGATGATGGTAAGCTACGTTGTAGCCCCAGCTGCCCTGGGGCTAGCCTGGCCCTTGCCTTCCTACGCAGTTCTGCTCAATTCTAGTTTCCCTTCAGTTCTCCGTCTGGAATTTCTCCCATAGACAAGGATTTCTTTGGGAGCATTTCATCTGGGCCAATCAGAGAACACTACATCAATTTTCTGCGCAGTGTCTGATTGTAGTTTATTTCACCTGGGCCAATCAGCAAACAGAAGGCGGAGGTTTGAATGACGACGTCGATTTTCTGTGCAGTGTCTGCTAGTTAGTTTAGCAGTGGCAGTGGAGGAAGAGAATGAAGCCAGTCCGTGCTGATAAGGCTTGCAAATTAAAATAAATTTATCTGACAAAGCAGCAGCTCTCATTTAGTCATCTCATTCGGCTCGGTACTTCTCTTCTCTCGGTAGGCTTGTTTACAGAGCATGCGATTTCCGGTTAGCTTCTTAGCTTAGCTTCCTTCACAGTGGAGCTAGCACTTGCGGCCAACTGACCCAATCATTTTAAACTTCAACAGAGGCCACGCCTCCAGCAAGAATCACTTTCTGTAGCTGAGGTTCCAGACCCTCGTTCGTGGTTTTTACCAGGCTACACTGGGACAGACTGACAGAAGTGAAGCTGCACTGCACCGGCACCACCAGCTTCTCTGACCAACAGTAGGCAATACTAAGTGCCGTGCCCAAGGACACAACGACTGAGACAGCTGGAACGGGGGATCGAATCATCAACCCACTGATTACAGGAAGACTCCTCTGACCACTCTGCCCCGGCCGCTTCACACAAAATAAAAAATCTTTACTATAACAAGGCAGCGGATGATATGCATTCCTTGAATGAACGCTAAGTCTTTTATGTTTTAAGATTTGATCCTAATTTGTGTTTTTACCAGTTTTGTTTCCACCTCTCCTCAGCTCTTTGTACATTTTAAGATGAATATCTGTTTCTCCCATATTCCATGGTTGTCATGTAGCATTGAAACTTTAATCAGCAAAGCATTAATGCATGAACCTAATGATGCATTTTATTCCTTGTCTTTACTTCAGAGCCAACAGAAGTGAGGGGCAATCTTGATGACAGCCTCAGCATCTGTTAATGTGTTACAACAGTGCGGACCTCACAAGGAGCGAGATCGAACTTCATGGACGGCACTGAGTTGATGGAACAAAGGCAACAAAACAAAATAAAGATGGAAAAAGACAAAAAAATCAGTGACAAGAGATTTGTGGGCTGGTTGTACTGTGTAAACCAAGATTTTGAGCCCCACTGCCTAAAAAAATACATGGTTCTTTGGACAGCAAATCAACCGCCTCTACTACCTACAAACTGTTAGAAAATAATAAAGAAAAAACACACATACACCAACGTGACAAAATCCACAAAAAAGTAAATGAAAAAAACGTGATTGTAAATAACTTTTTATACATTTTTTAGCTTTTTTCATTGAAGGTGAAGAAATCTCTTGTGATGTTCCTTTTTTTATGCAGTCGTGTCTGTATGAAGATGGTGAATGAGCTTGATGCGAGTGCAGTCTTGTGCGTTGCTGAGGGAAGCCATTTCCTCGACAAAGAAGAAAAAAAATTGTTTTTTTTGTTTCTCTCAAATTTCTCCCCGAATAACATTTTTCCTCAGAATGTTCCTCCCACCGTTGAACTTTACGTAAAGTGACAGGGGTCCGGCAATAGAACCCGATGAGATTATCAAAAACCGCACGATCAGTGGGTTAAAAGGGTAAATATCAAAGTTGCAGAAAGTGATTGTAAATAGAGGAAGGAATTATTATGAGAGAGGAGATTTGATGGAACAAGATGATTGTGCAGAGAAAGAAGCTGGAGGTTGAACCGTTGAAGCTCAGTCCCAGGTGTCGACAGTTTTGGTTCTTTGTGGGGGCGACCTCATGCTGTTTTGTGATTTGATGTATATAAACGTGACCTTGTCATCTATCTGTATAATTTTGTGCCTGGTGCTGTCAGGAGCAGACCGTATCAGTCCACTGATACAGCAGGAACATATCTAAGTTGTGAACACCCGATGGGTGAAAGTTGATCTTTCCTCCCTGTGTGAGGCTGGATCGTCTTAAAAACTGCTTTAAAACCCCTCGAGGTATTGTTTGCACTTTGATGCATCATGACTCAGCTCGCCTTGAGGGGCACCGCGGGAGTAACTGAATCCCTCCAGCAGCATCCAGGAAACTCATTTTATAGAAGCTTCTCAAGCAGAAGTTGTGCAAATTTAAGCCAAAGGTACCTAAAGTCAGTTTGAAACATATTCTTCCCCTTTTTTCTCCTCTAAAAAAAAATCACTTGTACAGAGTGAGACAGTGTAACCCATTTTTCTTATAACTATGATTTTTTAAATTAATTAATTAATTAATTTTTACCATAAATGCACAGACATGAATAAATTTCTTGGCATCCTTCCACAAAGTTGAAAACAAAAATTCACATTAATGGCCAGAAAGCTCTAGTTAAGTCTCATCAGTTCTCCCAGCAACTTTGAGGATAATCAACATATGTTTTGATGAATTCTTTGTCTGGCCTATTTGTGTTTTCGTATTAATAATTGAGGTTTCCTGGGCTTTTTTTCCATGGAGCTCCTTATTATTCACAGTGTGACAGATGTTGCAATCAGGAAGTGATTTTGGAGTTCTGGTTGTTTTTTGGGGGGGTTTGTTTTTTTTACCATGCACCTGATCAACCTGGGGTTGCATTTCTTCTTGCATCCATGTCCTGAGAGTACCATGAACTTTTTTCAACATTTGGCAACTGTGGAATCTTTTAACTTTAACATGAATATCCATAATATCCTCAGGCAGCTGAGTACTGAGTACCAACAAATCTGTCCATACTATTTTAGGCTATCTTTGTAAAATTCTCGTTTTTTAATTCACTTTTCATGAGGAACAAAGCTTTGTTTCAATGAGTTGTAAGGGTACCAAAACATTTGTCTGTCTGCACAATGTAAGATGAGTAATATTTCCATTAGTGAGGCCTTATTTCTACACAACAAAGCTTACAAAAGCTACAAAACAAGAAATTTGTTGAAGGATAAATTGGGTCAGGAGCTGCGACTACCGCAGGGAGAAATGCATGGATGCTGCTCATCATGGGGACAGAAATAGACAGAAACCTGGGAAAATGTGGAAACAAATACATCCCAAGCAAACGCAGACATCTTCCTGCTCTGACTGTCAATCACTGAAAACCAACCAAGCCTGTTTGTGACAGTGTTACTGCCAAAAACTGTTCCTGCAGGGGAAACGCATCAGTCTTTTCAAAGAAGTCCACCTTTAATAAAAATCCTCATTAGCTTTTTTTATTTTTTCCCACAGATTTTACTTTTAACAAACATGAAATCTAATTTATTTATTTATTGATAATTCATAAGCACTGTGTGAATGATTTGTTTTTGAGATTTTGTATGGAAAGCTGTTTTTCAAGAATGCATGTTTTTATTTTTTACTTTTTTTGTTCAAATGTTCCTTTTTATATATGTAATTTGATGTTTTTTTATTATAATATTGCAATCAGAGACTCTCAAGGTGACAAATTCACAGATGGAGGACAAGATAATTAGAATATTTGAATGGAAAAGTTTCGAATTAACCAACACTTTAAAATGGGATTTCTTACTTAATCATAGTCAAACTGAGGGAAATGTTTTCTAAAAGGACAGGAAAGTGCTTTTGTTCTCTTAAATATCACATTCAAACATGTCTAAATTCAAAGATGAAAACGGTCAGATCACCAGGTGATGGGTCAGCTTCATACTTTTCAGTCAGCTGTCAGTAAATTCAGGACTGTGAGGTTTGAACCTTTAGGAGCCAGCAGAGATCACCGATTTGAGTCTAAAATGTTGTTGTGTAGTTGGGAAAAGGAAAAAAAGGAAGGAAGGATGATTGTCTTTGTTGGTTTGTGTTCATTATCAGATGCCTTCTATCCCGCCGTCTGGATGGAAACAGCTGTTCCCCCTGTTACTGCGGAAACAAGAGAAACGTTGGACATTAAAAAAAGATTTATTCCTACATTTCTGTGTGTGTGTGTGCATTTATTTTTATTCTGTAGCAGAAAGAGGCCTGCTGTTTTGTATTCATGAGAACAGGCAGAGGAAACATCCTGACTGAGCAACACTTTTTTGTTTCCTCCTTTGGGAAGGAACAATTCTGTCTGACTTCTTTAGTCTCTCAAGTCTTCTGTCACAGAGGCTTGCTGCTGGCTTCATACAGTCACCTCGAGGCAGATGTTACACAAGTTCTGCATAAACACCTGAGAGAAACCCATGAAGGATGTTTTAATGTAACAGTCATGGTATGAAAGTCCCAGCTTGTTGATTTTTATCCATTTATTACAAAAAGAAAAAGTGTCAGGGATGAGATGATCCCAAGCTGCAGAATATCAGATTGTAAGAAAATGCCTTTTAAGTTAATTTGCATCTCCAGTGCAGTGTGAGTGCTCAAAGAATTTTGTTGAATCGCTAAAGAATCAAAAAGAAAAAAATAATAGGTCCTCTGGACGGGTTCTTCTTAAATGAAATGTTTCGTCTCTCCTCCGAGAGACTTCTTCAGTCTGATGAGTTTCAGGTGAACTCAGCTTTAAGCACTGCCTCCACATGGTGGACAAACAGGTTGGTCACATGCAAAAGAGGGCCATCAACCAAACAATAGGTCGTTAGTGCCTTGATTAGCTTTACAGAGCTAAATACAGTAAGTAGGTCCAGAGGACCTACTTATTTTTTTTCTTTATGATTTTTTTCTATCTGGTTTACTGAGATGCATCAGGACAATAACTAAAGAAGCAGAAATAAGACTAATAGCTTCTAAAATGTATCTGAAATCAGCACAAACAGAATGTACGGAAGCGTATTGCTATCACGCAGGGGGAAAAAAATCCGAGCGCTATCACGTTAAAACGTGATAGTATCTCGTTAAAACGTGATACGTATCTCGTTAAAACGTGATAGTTATCTTGTTAAAACATGATAGTTATCTTGTTAAAACGTGATACGTATCACGTTATAACGTGATAGCGCTCGGATTTTTTTTCCCTGTGTGATAGCAATACGCTTCCGTAATAATGAGCATGTTTGCTGAATGAAGTAGTAAGAAGCTGAAAAAAGCTCCAAGTTAAAAAGTAGCTCAAACACAGAAAACAGCTGAAATGATTAAAAAAAAAAAAGCTGAAAGGACCACAGAAACGTTTGATGAAAATAGCTCCATTCATTTTCAATGAGAAAAACATGTCTGAAAAAGCTAAATATCTCAGAGCATGTCCTGCAGGAGCTGCAGGTTTTGATATATAAATTATACAAATGCACAAAGATTGCAGAATGAGATCTGTACTCAAAAAAAAAAAAAAAAAAAAAAAAAAAAAAACTTACAGAAGAAAATAAATTGTGTGAATGCTTTTATAAACATTCACAGAACTAATCTGACCAGAAAAAGAGAAATATGGTCTAAAATGAACTCTTCAAGGAGAAAACTTGCAGCAGAAAATGAAGGTTTTGTTTGATTTCCCATATACATAAAGTGAGCTCCACAAAGATTGTATCTAGTTTTTGTAGTGAAAGACAAATTAATTTGCAGTCTTGACCTTAAATCCCCCAAAACTGTATTAACACCCATTATCAGTGCTGGACGTCAGTAATTAACCTGAGACAGAATGAGAGCAAAATCAATGAAAAACAGTCAGATATGAAGAGATCCAGCTTCCAAAAACACTTTTATTAAGTTTGCACCTTTCATTTTGGAAATACAAAAACTTTGTACCATCGTGCACGATAACCAAGGTAATATTAAAATATCCTTGCTTGTGTTAACATGCACTACTTAAGTGTGTTCAAAGATTTAATGATCTCTTTTTGTAACTGTAATCAACATGGTTTATTATTTCCAAAAAAGAAATGCTTGTTTTTAATTAAAGTATTGCCTTAAACACACACACACACACACACACACAAAAAAAGTGGGACACACGATTTAAGCGACAGTGTGATCAAAATACAGATAAAGTATAATTATCTTACATTTACAAGGTAAGCAAAGACATTTAACGTTTTTATTTTTTAATATTCTTTTGAATAATTAGTTCCAAATTCACTACTTTGGTTCTTGTCTGGGCAGTCGTTTACACCACGGCTCCTCACACTTATTGGCTCTGAGGACCCCTTACAGGGGGGATATTTTACTCTTTACTGCCATTTTAATCCCTTAATGTCATGAGAATATTAAATTTTATTGGGTTGGTTGAGTACGTTTGTTTTACTGGTGAATTGTTCCTCATATGTATTTAGGCAGGTTTTTTTTTAAGCAAAAACAAAATTAACAGTTTATTATCATTTTTGGAGGACCCCCAAAATATAGCTCATGGACCCTGGGGGGTCCTGAGACCTGTTTTGAAAACCTCTGGTTTACAGGCTACAGAACTACTGCCCTGGTTTTACTCTGTTGTTGTTTTTCTTTCGGATGTTCCCTCTTTCAGGGGTCGCAAACTTCACTAAAGTTTTGGCAGCTGTTTTACACTGGATGCCTTTCCTGATGCGACCTCAGGATTATGAGACCACCGAGCTACAGCAGCCCAATACTGGGTCCACACTGTACTGAGGTGAAACATTTTTATACGTTTGAAAGGCTTTTACTTGTGTCAGCTGACCTATGTGACAT